CACTAGGGTTGGTGGAACGGTCAAACTTAAATACATTGTTTAGCTAACACCATTTTGGTACCCAATGTAGTGTGTTGCTCAAAGTTAAGTTTTCAAGAAGCACAGTGCCCGAGGTCGAATGGCATTCAATGCCCCCTCCACTCGATTGTGCCACACGGGGCGGATGCTTGACGTGACGCGCCAAGCTGGAACGGTAACTGCAATTTGATAAAGCAGAGTGACAAGTGCAGCAGAGCAAAAGGTCAGCACTCCACCAAACAGCAGCCCCCTCTCCTATCGCCTCTCCACGCTGGCCATTTGCAACTGACAGAAGTCAGCGGGAAGGTGACAGGCGAAACCAGGTAAGACCGTCAGAAAGAAATCGCTTGGCATGTGATGCCAACATCAGAAGCAGTAATCCCCAATGATAAGGCGTCACAGTTGTCGCAGTTATGGAAGCCAGTGGGCAGAAACGCGCACGTTGCGTTATTTATTCGGACTCATCTGCCGAGCAGGAGCTCTATGTCATCGGTCAGGGCAACTGGCTCCAGCTCAGCGCCATATCTTTTGTGTATGTTTCCCTTTCGATCCACCAGAAACTTGACAAAATTCCACTCGATATCCTGTTGGTGGCGCGTAAGCAGCTTGTACAGCGGATCTGCCTGAGCGCCCTTCACATCTACTTTGGCAAAGATGTGTCCTATGTTGGCTCCCTCCCTGCGCAGGTGATCCAACATCTCCTGCCCATCGGACTCGGGCATTTGACCCCCAAATTGGTTACAGGGAAAGTTTAGAATTCTCAGACCGCGGTCCTCGTATTCCTCCAGTAAATACCGCAAACCATTGTACTGAGATGAGGTAAGTCCGCATCTGAAGCAAAGAGGTGGGCCAACTTTTTACAGAACTTTTTGGGAATCGTTCTTACTTGGAGGCGATGTTCACGATTAGCATCACATGGCCGGCGAATTTATCGAGTTGCACGGGCTTCCCAAAGGTATCTCGCACAGTGAGAGCCTGTATCGTCAGACGCCATCGCATATCCTGCAAATCCTGCTGCAATCTGCTGCGTGTTTGTAGTACTGTCACCAGGGCCACTGCAGCCATAAGGCCGCGGAAAATAGTATCTTTATCGAACATCGTCTAGCGTACTAACTGCGTTTGGGATCCCATAGGGCTTTAAGTGAAAATCGATTCGTGAAGCTAATTGTGCGTGAAGCGCCTGTTAAAAATCGCATTTAAATGTGCGGCCCTTTCGTTTCGGTACAGTCACACACACTCACATCCATACATATGCCCCAAAAAAGTGGCAGCTAAAATTGAATTTGGCCAAAAAGAGCTAAAGTTGCATGTGCTGACCTACGAGCCGAGTTCGACCTTAACTTAATTATACCCGTTACTCGTAGAGTAAAAGGGTATGCAAGATTCGATGAAAGGTATGTAACAGGCAGAAGGAAGACCATATAGAGTATATATATTTTTGATCCGGATCAATAGCCGAGTCGAATCAAGAAATGTCCCAAGGCTGAAGTTCCAAACTCCATAACTCAACTTGTCTTAATCACAAAGCGCCCAAAACTGTCACGCCCACACTTTTGAAGAATGTTGTGGTATATTTTCACTTTTTTATATATCTTGTAAATTTGTGTAGATTTTCAAAAAGCCTTTTGGCCACGCCCACACTTTTAAAACATTTTTAAGTTTTTTTTCATTTTATTATTTTTTTCCCAATTTCTACCGATATTCCAGAAAATGTTCAAATTTGTGGTTTCCGCTTCCACTAGCTGAGTAACGGGTATCTGATAGTCGGGGAACTCGACTATAGCATTCTATATTGTTTTAAACTTTTTTTGGTCTCTGCCGGCCAAACGAAATGAGAGCACAACTCACACACGCACACAGTGGCACACTGAAAACAACAACAAAAGTTGAACAATCGTAACGAAATAATTGAATTTTTATTTCCGTTTTATGTGTTTACTTCCGCTTCATGGCCGCGGCACCATTTTCTCAGCTTTTCCAGCTTTTTCGTTCGCCCTGTCCATATGTGTGTACGTGTGTGTGGGCATGGTGATTTCGGCCTATTTGTATACAAAAGGCAGTCAATTTCTGCCAGCTTGAGGAAACTTTTTAAGTCAATTGTCAAAAAGTTTTTAACATCTTTTCCCCGGCCACGCCCCACTTTTGTGGGCTCCGTATGGCTCTGTTTCTGTTTCATTTTCGCTGTCAAAATTGAAATATAATTCGGTAAAGTTGCGCCTCTTTTCGGTTCGGCTTTTCCACTTAGACGACGTTTGGATTTGGGCCATAAATCAATGCCAGGGGAAAGGCGTTCGACTGAAATTGATTTAGAATGCGGGAAGTGGGCGTCACTCCTTTCGGCCGTCTGTCAAGCTGCTGCACTAAAAACAGTCTGAAATGGCAGTGCATTTTATAGTTTGATTGCAAGTTGCTGCCACAAGGTTTTTCAAATTCGACACCATAACACAGCTATATGTTGACATAACTTCATAACATAAAAACGGGATGATTCATTTTAGAACATGTTTTCCATTCCAAAAATATAACCAACTAAAGTCTCAGAAGAAAGCATCTTCAGCTGAAATTGTGATTATCATAAAATCAGCATAGAAAGATTGCCAACCGGTTTTATAGCAATAACCAGCGATTATGCTAAGAGACATCTCCGTCAGACTCGAAGTCAAATCCATCGAGCATCCACGCTGATCAACTATAGCGGTTTTGCATATTTGATGCACTTGGCATAAACTTAATAAACTTTGCCCCCAGTTACAGGTTATAAACCCGGCGCACCAAACTCGTAAAAAAGGAAGCGCGTTAAAGCCACTGAGCCACAACTCGCTGTTTTATGACCATCTCGATGAAATTGCGGCTCCCCCAGCTTGCCGCTTCCATCTGGTTTTGTCTAAGCATCCGCCATCATTCTGGCTTTTGTTGCACCATTTTTCACTATTAACAGTAGCCATAAAAGTAGCGTTTGGCCAATAAAACTTTTGACATGTGGAGCAGGGGCTCCCTAAAATTTTTTTTCGTGCCACTAGCCGGGACAGGTGTTACCTTCACCCTTGGCACCTGGGCTTCTCCAGTTGCGCCTGCTGGTCCTGCATCTCCACTTGTCATTTGCCACTGTGGCCCCAGCTACTTGCCACTTGCCACTTGCGCATTTAATTAAGTTTACGCCGCGCTGCACACGCAAAAGAACGAAGGACGTTATTAATTAAATTCCTTTATACACAGGTTAAGCCAGCCAGCTTGCCAGGCAGCCAGCCAGCCAGCCAGCCAGCTTGCCAGCGATACCCACCGCCACCTTCCGTCTTTGTGTGTCAACAATTGGAATATTAACGAGGCAACTAATGAAAGTTTACAAAGCCAGGGTGTTTTTCCGGCGAAACAAATCGAAAGGGAAACATTTAATAAAAGTCGCTCTCGCCGATTTTCCGCCCGAGATCAAAGCAACTGCTAGAGCAGTTCCCCCACCACCACTTGACCCACCCGGCGTATGCGTGATTTTCGCTACCAATTATAGTGGATCGCCTTGGGAGCCTTTGGAGTGTCTGCGCACAAATCCCGCCGCGCTGATGCACTGCGGCAAAGGTTTCGGACCCCTAATAAGCCACGACCTTAACTGACTCACACATCAAAGCAAGAGCACGCACAGCCACTTACACACAGGCTTAAGCCCCAGACACGCAGACATATGCAAAAAGGATATGTATTAACTGTACGCATTTAAGCCGCTTGTCGAACGCGCGCAAATCCAGAAGGGGAAAATCGACTCTTATTCAATACACTCGAAAAATCAACTTTGGCAGATCAAAAAAAAAAAGAGAGCGGATGAAAACGAGACAGCAGGATGGAGCGGGAAAACTGGATTTTGGGTGGCTACAATATGCGAGTATAAATGTGCAAATCCCCAATGCAGCAACAGCTGCTGCTCAGCCACGCCCACCCCGCCCTTCGGCTGCACTCGCTTGGCATTTACATTTAAGCTGATAAGGAAAGTGCCTGCTCCTCGGGGTCCCTTGGTTTACCGCCTCCTGCCCCCGAAAATCCACCTGAGCGCCTCGAAGGACACACACACACACACACACACATCGAAGACGGCGATGAGAATTGTTTGTTGAAAATGTCGCCAGTTTATGAAATCGCGTGAGTTGGCAGCAAGGAATTCACATTTGACGCACGCACTTTACATTATTAATGCCTAAAGCCGAAGGCGGCAGAAACAAGTTCAAGTTTTAGGCCAAAAGCACGCAAATCGAGAGAGAGATACCCTTTAAGCGGCAAAAATAAACTTTGCTGTCTCTAAACAACTGCGAAAATGAACATAATTTAAAATAGGTTGTTATTACTAGTTATAATTTTCTTAAGAATCTGACTCAATTCACTCCAAGACTATTTTCTAATATCTTCAGTTCAGATCTTCGGTGATACTTATATACCCCACGTATTAAAAATTAGACCGAGTTAGTGAATAGTGCTGTGTGCGTAGAGCAGCATCGGTGTTTCGGAAAATGCTGCTGCCATTTGGCAAATGTATCGCATTTCCGTTTGGGTGTTTGCACTTTTACGCTTCGCTGGGAATTTTCCAATTTTTGCTGCTAATATTTATTAATCAAGTAATAGCTACTCACACACAGGCACACACTGCGTGCATGAACACTTGAGCTGGTGCCTGTGTGTGAGTGTGAGGACGCTTGATTTTTGCACGAAAAATTGATTGGAAACTTATAAGCTAAACTTTTTCCACTGTTTGCTTGTGTTTGCGGCCCACGAAACAAACTTTTTTGGTGTGCGCGGTTGTGTTTTGCCTTTTTTTCGTGTTTTTTTTTTTTGTTTTTATACCATTGCTGCCATTTGCAGCACTTGAAAAGGTCGCCACAAATGGAGGTGGAAAATCCGCATCAGAAAAATATTGAAATTCGATTTTTTTCGTGCTCTCAGTAACCTTTTACCAGGTCCCAGCTGTCTGTCAAAGCCTCGCCATGAGGCAGGAAGCATTTCGAATCATTTTCAGTACAAACTTTGCGTCGAGCACACCTAGAACCCACTCCAATAAAATAAAGTAAGTTCAAATTGTAACTATTTCGGTGCAAAAAATCTCCGAAAAATATTCAAGCCAGAAAATATTTGTGGTCACTTTTCGGTTAACGTTTTCAACTCAACTGTCTTTCACAGCGCTGCCTGTCACGCTCTACAAGATGAACTATCTGCTGATCCTTGGGTGTAAGTATATGGTAGTAATTAGTAGTATATAACTATATATTTCCATTAATGTTTGGCTAAGGTGTCCTCATGATGATGTGGCCGAAGTACGGCGACTGCCTGCGCATGAAGCGTTCTCAAGGCGATGCTGCAAGTGATTATAACAAAACCACTGCAATGGACAATAGCGCTTCACTGAGCGGAATGGCCACCGTGTTGACCAATAGCACCATGGCCATGGCTAACATGTTTGCAGCCACATCTCCGAAGCAGAAGAACACTACTGGACCTGGGCGCACAACGGGGGCTCGTGGAAAAACCACCAGCTCCACGACCACCACCACATTATCATCCTCACTTGCTGCTGTGGCATCCACATCCCCGCCGCCGGATGCCGGAAAATTCCAGCTGGTGGAGGATCTAATGGGACTGCGACGTCCCAAGAGGCGCTTGGGTAGCCTGCTGGAGGACAGTCTGCAGCCACGACAATTGCACCACAAGCGTCGCCAGGCGGGAGAAGCTGCCTTGGTGGCCACCTCACTGCCACCCAATCTGAATCCCAATCCTAATCCCAGTACCAATCCCAATCCCAATCCCAATCCCTATGTGTACTACAACAAGTTGGTTTCGCCCGATGGCAAGCACGAGGTGAATGAGTTTGAGCTACTTTCGCCTAACATGATGATTGAGAGTGTGCAGCAGGAGCTGAACTACGGCCCGGAAGTTCTGCCACCGGAATTGGCAGGAGTGCTGCTGCTGAATGCCGCCGAGAACACTCCACGCGGACTCCATAATGCAGCGCCAGTGAAGCACCATCGCAAGCACAAATCCTCGCCGGCTTTGCCACCGATGCTCTACATGCTGCAACAGCTGTTGCAGCCCCCCTTTGAGGGGAATCTGTTGATGGAAGCACCAAAGGAGCCGCAGCGTCGCGTTAGTTCGCCCCTCTATCAATTTCTCGATGGCGCCATGGATCTGGCTTTGCGCAACAGTCCCGATGTCATCGATCACCTGCTGGGGGATCACCTGGAGCTGGAGCTGGAGATGGAAAAAATGAAGGGCCTCAAGGATAAGGCACAAGCGAAGAAGGCCAAGAAGGAGGCACAGAAGATGGAACCCAAGGAGGAGCTCATCATCAGCTGTCCCATCCACCACGAGCACCATGCCAATCGCAATGGCGACGTGGTCGAGGATGATGTCGTCCTGGTCAACGAGTGCCATCTGGTCTAGATCTGCGCAAAAAAGGGCAGTTGTCACAAGGTTTCTTAAAAATTTTAGGTTACTTGTTTTCCGCATTCGTTTTTGTTTTCATTTTGTTGGTGCAACTGGAAGAAGTCGGTCTAATGTGCTTATATTTGTTGCACATTTAAGCCCGAATTTGTACTGTACACAAAAACTTAACAATAAAAACTAAATACACGTCATAAATAATATTTTACGTGGTAAAAATCAAGCTGGAAGGCTGCCATCATCACGTAGAATGGCCATTGTTCCAACCGTAACTAATATCAAACTTTCGCTCCAATCGACACCCCATCCCCTGGGTGGCTTTCTCCTTGAAGTTATCCTTCGTTTTCATTAACAAAATCGATTTCCTACCTTGAAATGTCCTGGGGGAGGTGGCTGGGCGGCAAAATTGATATGCCGAGTGCGACAGTGCAGCCAAACGAGCAAACAAATCTAACATACAAGCCCTTGACTGCGGATGAGCATATATCCTCCATTTATATCTGTATGGGTTGGGGTAATGGTGTGGGGGGAGGGGGGGCACTGTGGGTGGAGCCGAAAGGGAAAAGTTTTGCCGACAGCCACTGCTAAATGCTGCTAATTTCGTATACAATAAAACTAATGTAAATTGCCACTTGACGTTCACTGGGCGTGTAAGTGTGTGCCATAGTATGTGCTAGTGTACTGGGTGCACATACATAGACATTAAATGGGGCACATAATGTGCCGGGAGTCAGGAATCGAGAATCAGGAATCAGGACAGGACTCAGGACTCAGGACACGAGGGAAAGGCAAGCCAGTGAAATAGCGAGTGTCATGGGTGCTGGCCATCAGCATAAATACAAATTTGCTTCACAAATCCATGTATGTATATAATCTATATAAACTGCACTAGATGCCAGTATAGTACATCTACATGTGCCAAGCGGAAAAGTGCAACGCAGCATTCGTAAAATTGCGTAGTTCCTTCGACTTCAAGATGCATTTAGAAAAATAGGTTAAGATTGTCGATAATTACTTTGCAGATTTACTTATTTGTTTTAATACAAATATCCATAATGTTTGATACGATCAAAGAGGAGGTTGTTTCATTCCGTACTTATCTTGCCCCCATAAAATCTGATCAGGTAAGCATTATTTCTCTCTGTGCACTCAGTGGCACTGCCAATGTCCCTGGGGTGTTAACTGGAGTGTAAATGCGAATGTATGTGCAATTCCCGCTGCTAAGTGACCAGGCCCCCTCCAACATAAACCCTCGCACACATATATTTATTTACAAGTGTAAATAATAAATGCTTGCAACAGCCATTCCACATTCCACTCAACTCCAAGGTCCTGTCAGCACTGCAAGTGCATTAACTTTTGCCACACTTTCGTCACCAATGCCGCTTTCGATTTAAGTTGGCATCTGTGTAAATAGCTTTAAGCTGCGTGCAATATAAATAAATATAAATTTGGAGAAAGCCAGGCGGCGACCACTTTCGCTAATCTCTTTGCGTTTCAAATTTATGGCTTCATTATGAGGATGACAAAGACGAGCGTTGCCAGGACATTGCCAGGACTCTACTGTCAGTCACTCAGTCCCTCAGTCACTCGCTCTGTCTGGCTGTCGGTCTGAATTTCAGCCAGTCTTTTTGTGCCTTTGTTGTTAATGTTATGGTTGTCATTTGGCAGCTTGTAATTACGTTAGCCACAAGTTGTTGCCAAAAGTTGTAATCTAGATTTCATAGTCAAAGGGCGACAGGCAACAACATAAAATTCAATTGAACTGTTGAGTCAGCAAAAGTCAAATGAATGGCACAGTGCCTTTAAAATGCCATTAAAGTCAGGAATCTGCCGAAAGATATATACACTCGTACATTTTTTGAACTACGAAGGGGAACCTTTCGCAAATAACCAGCAAATAAATTGGTGAATATAAATTGCAAAATCGGTTTTGCTGCTTTTAAGCTCACTCTGGCATCAATTTTAATCGAAAAGTGTTTTGCTTAACTAGTTTGGCGTTTTTAAACTCGTTCAATGGTAATTCGATAACCATAATTTGTATGCTAATAAATACAGCAATTGCTGTTAGGTAAAATCATGTTGGTAATAGTTTAATCTGGATGAAAGTGAAATACATTTCAAATTGTTTTTATTGAAATTAAGTATGTTAAATTGCTACTGTTGTTGCTTTCTGTGTAAATTGATTTTAAAAACCACTTCTCACATCTTTCTTATTGAATTAAATATGGCTAGAGCTGCATGTTTTTATTATTAGCATATATCTAAAAAAACTAGTTCTGTTTCGTTTTTAATAAATATGTTGAGTGCGCGCTAGGAGTGAGTAAACTTAAAGTACAGCACACATTGTTTATATACATTAACTCACTTAATTCATTACAAATAAATTAATAAACCTATTAACCAATTTGCTGTACGTTAAAGTCAAACGTTGAACTTTGCAGTGCGGCTCAAAAAGGAGGCTATTTTATTTTCGCCCGATTGCCTTTTGCGGCTATCATACATGGCGTATGCGACATGTGACAACAGAATTATGCAAATTTCAGTGTCACCTTCAATTGCATACCAACCGCACGCACACCGCAAAAAACACATGGGCGAAAGGATACAAAGCCAACTGACAGGAAAAATGGGGCAAAAAATGTTGATTATTTCGCTTGACGGGGGATTGTCGATAAAATACCGAGCGATGCAGAATGCAGAATGCAGACGATTCGCAATGAAAATGCTGTGAAAATCAATAAGCAAATAAACAACGGCGCGCACAACTGAGAGCATACATCAAATCGGCTTAAACGCAAGAAAACTCTATTTAAATTGTCAGCAGCAGCGAGTCGGCGAGGCGTTGTGTGAAGTTATGGCCAAAAGGGTGGGTGAGGTGGCGGAGAAGTATCCTTTAAAGTGCCTTTGCTCCTGTGGTGTGTGTAATTGGGTCGTGTTATTGCTGTTGCTTGCTCGTTTCCTAAGTCAAATTTATTTGAACGCACTTGCAAGTAAAACCACAAAAACAGAGAACAGTTGTGTATGTGTGTGCCATCTTCTTGTTGCGTGCAAGTTTTACAAGTGAAAACTTTGCTGTCAGGGATACTTTATGTGCAAATTTTTGGCTCGGCAAGATACACACAGCTACCACAGCGACACTAACACCCGCACCTACACTCTGCTACATGGTCAGCAATTTTGCTTGTTGCCATTGTCAGCTGACAAGTCATTTGCATGCACACGCAGCAGTCGAACCAACACTCTTGCCATTGCAAACGAAACAAAATAAGCGAAAAATGAAAAAATGCAAACAAAAAAAGCAAAAGACAAACAAATCCGACCAGCAGCACACACAAAAAATGCCTTCTACTTGCGGCAACAACTCGAACTGCCACTACAACAAATTGGCCACTCCCTGTTAGCATATAAATCACATTGTAAAAGACAAATTGAAAGATGTTGCTGCGGGCTGCAGTCGTTGGCCCAATCCCATGCAATTAACATGCGCACACAAAATGCATTTAAAGGTCTATGCCGAATTCCCAGCCCGTCCATCCAAGCCACTTTGCTAGAGCACACATGGACACTGGAAAAAAAAGGTAGAGAAAGAGGTAGTTTTCAAAAAATATTGAATTAATACCACCAATTATTGTATATATTCGGAGCTATTTTTGTATTGAATCTGACGTATATGGTACTTCAAATATTATGTTGGGGTTTTTACAAAATATAATATACTCACATTTTCCGGTTGTGCTACCTACAGATATTTTTATTATATATTAAATGACACTTCTAAACGAGCACTGCATTATAAAGTCTGCAGAATATTAAATGTCATATTTTACAATTTGGTACAGAAGTGGCATAAAAAGCTCTACACTTAGGTACGAAATAATTGCCTTCATTTCGACTTTACTCTAACATTTTGATTTATTAGACCATGCATATCTAGCACTTCCGATTCTAACACTTTAAAGCGAGTTAACCCACATCCCCACTTGCTAATAGATAATGAAAATGGCGCATCAAGCCATTTTCGACTAGTTGCCTCACCCATAAAGTTAATCTGGCCCCGCCCAAAGAGTCGCCAAATGATGAACTACCCAGCCGGGCACTCAACTGACCCCCATTGCCCCTTTTCTTGGGCCCCCAGTGAGAGCAACAATTAAATGTCAAGTCTGCTGATTAATCCTAATGCCAGGATGCCAGGCTGCCAGGCTGCCAGGATGCCAGGATGCCAGGATGCAGAGGCTGGGGGGACCGGGCTCTGTCAGATGACCACAGTATTGTCAAGCCGACGCTGTCTCCGTGGAAATTCAATTTTCCAGGGCAATTACGATGCACAGTGGCTAATGCCTACGACATACCTAGCAACAAGCTCTGCCAACGAATGCATATGGAACGAATCATAGTTGATGGCTGTGCTCGGCAATTTGAATTGAGGAAAACACTCACGATTTGCATGCATAAACAAGGATCATCAATGTGGGCTGGCTAACTCCTAAGCATTATTTACTGTACCCAGCTGAAACTCTGGAGACAATAATGCCATCGACTGGCTTACTTTCCCCCCCCATTCACAACTCAATTTCAGTGGCGGGCGGACAATGGCAGAACATTTAAATGCGGGTAAAGTAAAGATGTCTTAAGGCTGCTGATAAGTGGAATCTTTATTGCTTATTAGAAATGATTATTATTAATATTCACGCAATGAGATTTTATGGCTCAAAGTGGTCGTCCACACTAATACTCCATTTCCCCCGGACCTTCTCAACTTTCTCGCAGGTGGTTTTTCCCGCACAGAGATTAGGAGATCACGGCACTCCTTCGCTTTAAAGGGGAGCAATTCTACCTGATTCTTGGCTAACTCAATAAGGTAGTGTGTCAAGTGGTAGCAGGACAACGCTTAAGTCACGTCATGTTGCCCACTGCGTTTATTATAGCCATGTTTCTTAGAGCCGCGGAATGACCGCAGGCAGATTGAGAAAGTTGGCTGACAACTTTTAAGCCATTTTTTCGCTCTTATTTTAGGTGCGCGCTAAGTGCATTTTAATTTGTCACTCATAAAGATGGCCACCGTTTTTGCCGTGCATATTTTCCGCCCAGCTTTTCCGTCTGCAGCTTTTCCGAGCTGCAAATTACAACAAATTACATTTTCGCAACCTGCTCTATTTTGCCCACGGCGGATGCGAGGCAGGTGATTATGCATTTTT